AAGTGCACAAATACATGCGACAGCAGGCTCTTGGCTGATATTTCTGAAACAGTATATCCAACATAGGTGTATTTCAGGGGTGGGCAAAATGCGGCCCGCAAAGCCATTCTATCCGGCCCATGGGGCCCCTAAATAGCCTGTTAAAACTGGGTAAGTAGCACTCCGCCCAAAATAATTGCCCGCCCTGCCGTATTCTAAGGTTGTATTTATGTTAAAGCTCCAGTAATGTGCAAAAAAAACAAAAACAAAAAAAACAACACAAAAAAAGCCACTCTATATTTAGAACTGTTGTTTATACAGTCAAAGATCCTCAACAACGCAGCACTGTATCACTTCTCTGTTTACACCTATATGATCCCAATACTTGCATCGATAGGACGATTAAAGAATGAGTTCACATCTGTTAGCCATTAAGAGGAGAGTTTACAGGGACAGACAGGCCTTCTGTTAGTGTTAGAAGAACAAGGACCTAAGATTCTGAGTGTCTGAAGCTGAACAGAAGCTTCATCTCCCCTAAGCATTTCTCAGCAGTTAAGATCTTTCCTTGAAAGGGAAGAAAAGACAAAAGCAATCAGTTGACCACTTTTTGATAGAGTGGGCATTTTAATTCATCTGCAAGCTTGCCACACACTCTTTGAGAATCAATGGATCGGATTGGATGGTGAGGTTAGAAAACAGATTTCCCATACCGTTTTGTAATTGAGGGCAACAGTTAGAAATACAAGCTAACCAAATTCTTGCAGGAAAGATGTATATTATCAATACCTGACGTAGGTGCCATTGAGCCTTGTCTTTTCACCTTCACTATCCTTTTTCTGCCAAGGAGATACTGTTTCTGTCTGCAGACAAAGTTCTGAAAAGGAGTTGTTTAGTGTGGAAGAGGAAGGATGATGTTCCCAGACAAGTTAGCTGGACTTTGTCCAGCTGCTATCAAGGAAATAGTATGAAGAGAACTTGCTCTATAGCTTGACATCAGAGCTCAGCTGTTATAGAAATCGAAGGACTAGAAAGAACTTGTAAGATCATCAAATCCAGTCTCCTGCCACTGCCAGGAAGTTATTGGGCTCAGATAGGCTCAAGGTGCTTGCCTAGCTTTGTGCTGAACACCTCTGAGGATGGTGACTGTACCACCTCTGCAGGGAGTGTGTTCCAGATTCTGGTGACCCATTGGCCCTCACCCTCCCTTGAGGTGCCTTCCTGAAGAGCTGCTCCCCTAGGTCTTGATGCTTACCCCCGATGTACTTGTAGGCAGCTACCAAATCACCTCTCGGCTTTCTCGTACTCAGACTTGTGATAAAGAAAAGAAAGAAAAATGACCAAATGCCAAACGTAGGAGCAAGTCGTGCTCATGGCATGGGGAAGGCGATGGGCGCGGCCTGATAGCAGCAGTCCTGGCCCGCGCTGATTGGCAGGGGGCATGCAGATGCAGCCCATTTAAAAAGGCAAGCGCGCCAAAAGAGAGGGGGACCCGCGCAATATCAAAGAGGCCTGAACACCCTCACCGGAGGTCCTGCGCCCACGAAATCCCTTCCCCCCCCGGACGCCCCCATCACGACTGGGTATACCATCTGAACATGTTTAAGAGCTCTCAAGTTATCAGCGAGTTTAATCTTGAAACAGCCGTTAAGAAGTTTTTTTCTGCCTAAACTGTGAGTAAAGCATTTACTTATCTCACCGCCTCCTTGGTGTTTTTCTGTCGACGGAAGAAGAGGCCGAAGAGGGAGGAATAAGGCCCCGAAACCCTTTCATCCCCGGCCTGCTCGCGTAATCTGGGTCCAACCACCCATCGTCAGGTTGAACAAGACTGAACAGGCCCAGTTCCCCGAGTCTCTCCTCATAGAGCCTATCCTCCATGCCCTTAATCATACAGGTGGCCCTTCTTTGTACCATCTCAAGCTTATCCACATCTTTCTTGAAATGAGGTGTTCAGAACTGGACACAGTACTCTAGCAGTAGCCTCACCAATGCCTATTAGAGAGGAAGGAGCACCTCCCTGGCTCTACTGGCCACATAGGGTTCTATTTCTCCTCATGGCACTGTTGGCTCATGTTCATCTTCTGGGCAATTATGACCTCAGATGCTGTGCCAGTCCACCCATCTGGTAGTTGTGGTGAAGGTACCCAGCTGAAGAAGTTTAACAGGGGGAAGTGCAAGGTTCATCTAGTTCAACTCCACTCATAAATCTTATCTGTCAAGGTCATCCAGGATCTTAACCCTATCCTCTAATGTGCCCATGCTTCCCTGCATTTGGCCTATTCATGGCCATTATTTCATATTAAAACAAAGTCTCCCTCAGGATCCAGACATCACACCCACATTAGTCCCATTCACCAACAAAAAGGTAAAAATTACCATTTTTTTTTTTTTTTTTTTACAGCCATTGCTTTTGATCATTAATAAAGGTCTTAAGAAGTATAGTTCCTAAAGGATCAGTTCTGGGCCCCTTTAAAATAAAAAAAGAGCTCCCCCCTCCACCACCTGAAACTTCACTATGTTCTAAACTTCCTTATGCAATGACTAGAGAGCTCATGACTGGAGGGGGGGGAAAAGCAACAGGAGGGAATTCGACAAGATGCACACCACATCTAAGTAAAAGGCTGGTGAAAAAACAAGTCTAGAACCTCATCTTTGACTATGATCAGTAATAGCTAAAAACAAAAAACAAACAAACAAACAAACAAAATGTAAAGCTTGAGAGCTTACTGCTTTTAAATGAATGTTGTCCCCACCCCCTATTTGGCTATTGGTACCCTGTAAAATAGGTAATCCTTTTCTGCAACCTCCTGAACACAAAGCTTTCAATAAGCTTTAAAAGTAATACTTTTTCTGGCCAAAGCACTAATAAGCTGCAATGTATTTTCTTTTGTAAGCTCAAATTTACCACATTCCATTTCACTGAATTTCTTATTTTCTAGAAGCAAGAGCTTGTATTGTATCCAGACTAGTCACCCTAGAGTAAGTGTTAAGTTATACTAAAAAAAAAAAAAAAACAACAACAAAAACCAACAAAAATCCCCAAAAAACTTGTAAATTAAAACTCAAAATATGCAAAGCTGCCTGCAGTTGTATATTATTGTACTAAAATTACACTGAAATTAGCACATGGTCCTGCTTCAGCTTGTTTTGAAGATCTGACTAGCTGTAGTTCTTCTACGCTGCAATTTAATATTAGTGAAAGACTATAGCATCTTTTCAGACTCCCTGAAGTACAGTTAAGACATCCAAGTTCCACATTTATCTTTCATATTATATCTGCTGGAGCCAACTGATTCACAGTGAAGCACTACAGTTAGAATGAGATGACCAAGCTCTCCTTTCATCCTTGTAAATAGGTTGTGTACTCCTTTCTCTACTACGAGGACTTCTAAGTTCACTTATAGCACTGCTAAGCTTTATGAAAAACTAGTATAAAAGAATAATGATAAAACAGCCTAGAGAAAGGACCAGTTCTTTAAAAAAAAAAAAAAAAAAAAAAAAAAAAAATAGTTCTTAATCTTATAAACAGGACTAGCTTGCTGGATAGCTGGACAAAAACTAAGAATACACAGATCACAGTAAGTTTGCCAGGTATTAGTATCGCAACTTAACTCAAAAATAATAGCAGTCAATAAAATAGCATTGCTATATATAGCATGACCTTAATTTCTATAGTTGTCTTCCAGCTTGTTCTTAGTCTTGAAAAGATATACTGCTTAGCTTCAACAATCAGCATTTTCTTCACTGAGCTCATACGCTGCTTGGTGTAAAAGTTAGTTTTCTGCTTCCTTTGCAAAGACAGACATTTGTGATTTCAAAACATTTTAAAGGTGTTCCTTAGATACTTGTTATAGAGAACATGTTGATTACGTTTAAGCCAAAATGTATCTTTACAGTACAATTTAATTCAACTATTACTGCTAAAAATACGTATTAGAAAATAGTACATGGTAAAGCCTTTTTTTTTTTTTTTAAACTTTGGAACAGAGAAAGTGACTTGAAGATGCTCAGTTTAAAAAAGAAAAAAAAATGAAACAAAACAAAAACCCTCAAACCTTATTAGCAGTTACCATCTCTACTGTACAGATGATTTCTCCCCACACCATCCAGTGCATTCACAGTAAGTAATAAATGCAGCAGTGATTCCGCCCTTCAGAAAAAGCAAAGCCAAAGAATAATCTATTGTCAGAGACATCAATTTTACTGTTTTTTTCCAAGCATGACAAGTTACGTAGAAAAAAAAAAAAAAAAAAGTCAGAGCACAACAGGTTTGAAGTTAATTGCCACCATTTGTGTTTTTTCTGTGGACATTAATTCACACACTTTAATGTTTCTGAAAAATCCCTCCTCCCCAAACCTTAGATGTGGGCTTCAGTAAGTACCTAACAGTGGAGGGGGTGGGGGTGGGGAGAGAACCCAAATACAAACCCCAAAGCAGGAATAGTTTAGTTTTCTAGTGTCCCTACAGTTACACTGCACCTTGTAAATTCCATATCTTTTATCTACAGTCAATCACACAAAAAAATTTAAGAAAGTTAAATTGGTTCACTCAAGCTTTGCCATAAGAGAACTAATGCTTTTATTAACCAAAAGTGTAAACGCCGTCTCGAGAGGCAAGGATTCAAAACTGTCAAAACTTCCCCCAACCCCAAGTGGGACTGCCTTACTGGCTACCTAATGGGCAAAAGGTTAAGTCTCCTGAGGAGATTAGGAACTGAAGCATTTGCAGAGCCAAGATGTCAGTATACTCCATTGTTCAGTTGGGACTCGGACACCTCTGGATTACAAGCAGTTTAAAAGGAAGCATTCCTTCTCTGCTAGCAGGTGCTTTGAACACCACTACTTGCCAGGAAAAGGCTTAAGAGATTGAGTTCTGCACATACTCAGAGCTCCTAAAGAGTCATTAGGACTTTTGCAAGGAGAGGGAATGAAGACAGAGCAGTTTGACAAAGTACAAATGAAAAGCTTGCATCTTTTCACTGACTGATTCACTTCACAAATCACTGACAAGACTGATGTACATATTTCTGCACCTGCACTTTTAAAAGCAGATAAAATATTTAATGTAATTTACAATGTATTTTATCAGCTTGGCATACACGGTGAATATAGAGTATATCAAAGTAGTTGACAGTTTTGGGCTTGTGCAAGCCCTGCAAAAATATTACTTCAGGTATCTGCTAAGAAAAAAAACCACCTAATCAGTGTGCCATCCAGAAGTGATACAATTCAGTCTACCACAAAATACAAAGGGCTGCAAAAACATATTACCATTCCAACAATGTATATAAGTTATTAAATAATAATGATCCGATTTAAAAGAATATAAATGAAGCCTTTAAGTAGGTCTTTTCTACATGCATATTATTCCTCATTAAAGAAAAATATGTAAAAAGGCCATTGGTAATTGCTTTGTTAACCACTGTAGAAAATGCCAATTCTCTGGTCACAGACTCCACTAGTTTAGCACTTAAGGTCTCTGCAGTGTTACAAGTGTGATTATTATTATTATTTATTTATTTTTTTTAAATACTGTTAATTCTATTACTCCATTGGTAAAGAATGTGTGACTTAGAATATGGCAGTCTTCAGGTTGAGAGGATAGTGATCCACAGTTTTACAGTTATCCAGAAGAACAGCACCCTCCACTGCTCTGTACTTGTGGCTCATCATCAATGATCTGTACACCCCGCCTTGCAGTTCCTGACTGACTGGAACCATTGCCTCTTGCTCTTTCATCCACTTGAGCAGTTTCTATCATTCCTGGAAAAGAAGGAATTCCATTAGGATAACATTCCACTACAATTTAAAAGACATTTTTCATTTACTATTTCTTTACTTTTCAATTACTTATGCTCCATGCACACAATCAACCTGGTAACTAATAATTGAGCAAGAAAAAGAAGTTGTTTACCTTTCAAAGCTAGAGATGTAAACATTTTTAGTCTTTAGTTTTATTCCATAGTTTAGGTCCCATAAGTCTGGAATACCCAAAAGCTATAGGCGCCTAAAGTTGAGTTTAGTTTGAATTTAGGACTGAGCAGACTTGTTATGGGTAACTACTGAACTCAAGTCTTCGTTTGCAAGAGGAACAGAGAGTTCCTGCTTGTTGTCTTGGAATTCAAAAGAGACAATCTTCACAGATTAGTCTCTTAGGCCCTCAAGAAGGGGTATTCATTCAAAATAGTTAATTGCTGCATCCACAGAGGCACTTTGATCCCAAACTTATTCCTGAATGGTCATAAGAGACTTGGGATGCCATGCAACAAGCTTCTGAGTTTGAGAAAGAAGGAGATAATTTGAAGCCAGAATTCCAGAGGCAAGTTCTCTAGAACAGTGTTGGAAAGAACTAAAAATAGTAAAAAGGATCATAGGAAAAACTACAGCTCAAGTTTTCAGTTTGAGAACAAGAGACAATACACAAGGCAGCACACTCAGGGGGAGTGAAATACTTCAAAGACACTAACATTTTACACTAAAATTGCAAATTAGCATGCCGGTTGTTAATTATTATAATACATATTCAGTCCAAGTAGCTTGCACAAACAACACCCCCCCCCCCCCCCCAAAAATAAAAACAACCCCAACTTTCCTCATTTGCTTTACAGTTTAATTCAGGGAACTGGGTCAGATTTACCACACAACTATATGATCTAGGACTTCAGGTCTCAAAGTCTGACATAACCTTGAGCCATTGTCTGCAACATAAAAAAAAAAAAAAAAAAAAAAAAAAAAAAAAAAAAAAAAATAAACAAAAAACCCATAATACTTACTTTTACAAAGGTCAAGGAAGAGTTCTTCGATGCCTTTATTCTGTTTGGCTGAAGTATGATAGTGTTTTGCTCCCACTGATTCTGCATACCTGTATATAATGAAGATATAGAAAATGCTTGAGGCAGAGTTCAGAGCATTAAAATTCAGTACAACTTTGTACTTTAGAAGTAATGGGGAGTTGGGGGAGAAGTGCACAAGACATCCTTCATATTTAGAAGCAACTTGTATGTACCCATGTTTAGTTAAAAACTCTGCTATTTAAGTTTGAAACTGCATGCCTATTAGAAGCCAATTTTAAATAATACAGGCAACCCCTGCTTAATGCTGTTTCACTTAGCGCTGCTTCACTATAACACTCATTTGAAATTGATACCTGATTTCACTTAGCACTCAGCACATTTCGTAATGCTTGCGGTTGCCATCTTGAGTCATCAAATACTTTCAGTTTCACTTAATGTTCGGTTTTTCAGGAACCAATTAAGAGCGCTAAGCAGGGGTTGCCTCTAGTTTTAAACTGCATTTAAGATTAGAGAAGGAGGAAGACTTTCAATTTAGTTATTTAGACTTCATTAATCCTCCAAAAGATAGATTTCTCCATGTTGGCTCCCATGTTAACAATACCAGTAATATAGTGGCAGAACTAGTAGTTTGTTAGTTAGCTCCAATTATTAAACAGCATTGCCAATACTGGTCCTTTGGTCTTACAAGACCATTGTCACTCTTGCAGTAACAATCTAGTTAGAAACTAAAAGGGTTTAACTAGCAAAAGAAATGTGAAGAATCCTGCCCCCCACCCTGGGACAGATGCACACACTTACGTTTCTGCCTCTTGAACTGAAACATGCCTCTCTTTTTCCAAGTCTATCTTATTCCCTGTTGGAGAGAGAAACACCAATCTTAAAAAGCCTTCGTACATTAAGTAGAACAAAGTGAAATGGATGAACTGAACAGCCAGTAAGTATAAACAGAACTGGAGGGCAGAAACCAGAAGGCGGCCACCTCTTCACAGAAGAGGCCAATCTAATTCCAGTCACACTCCTTCCTATTTGCTCTTGTGACCCAATGAATTTTACTGAAGCTGGGTCACTGGGTAAATAGGCAAGATGGAGGGTGTCCTCAGCCCTCCTAAACACACACCATGGACATTGTGACATGGAAGATGTAGGTTCCAAGCTCTGGAAGACCAAGTTCTAGGTTTTCTATTTCCTGATCAAGTGCCCTAATCATCACCCTATTAAACCAAGAAGTGGGACAAAATGTTGTTATTTTTTTTTCCTTCCAGATGCTTTATATATGCACTGAAGATTATTTTCACGTTAAGTGTTACTTGTCCGTGATCTTTTAACATGCCTGCTTAAGTAGATGCATCATTAACATATAGCATCTATTCACATCTTCTCACATTTTCCATTTAGCAGATGTCTGATTGGTACTATAGGAACAATGTTTAAATGGGGGAGGAGGGGGACAAATACATTTAACAACCCTTTAGACTCAGTCCTTTAAAAGAAACTGGGATCATCTTACTTATTTTAGAATTGGTCTTTTAGTACAGCAGACGCACACTTTTTAATGTTTAAAGTAGTCCATTCAAGTGCATAAGTCCATTTAAAGTGCTTAAACATTTGGAATTAGAAATATTTTAGACCAATAAAAGGAAGATGAACATGCACTCAACATTTTCTTGGAAAGGACAGATAAGACAAACAGTACAGGAAATCACAGTAACATGCAGTAAGTATTTGTGGAATTTATTGTTTAAGGCTTCCCCCATGCTCCCCATAGAACTTATTCTACTGCCAGGGAGAAACAAAACAAGACCACTTGTAATTGCCTTCTTGTTTAGTGGAGAGGATAACACCTTACTTTTCCTGTCACTAAGACAAAGAGCAAGGCAACTTTGACAAATACTCTTGCACATTCTAGTGAGCCTGCTAGAGGCAAAAGTAATTTAATAGCTGACTGAGACAAAATATTCTAACCATTCCACTATAAAGCAAAACATCTTAGTCACAAGACAGAATACATTTAGAATTGCATAAAGGAAAGGACAAACTTACCAACTATACATAAACAGATCTCATTTCCCAACATTTTTCTTAATTCCTTGACCCAGTTTTTCACCTGCATATAAAGTATCAGCAGTTAAAGTTTATTCTACTTTTATATACATGTATTACTACTTTAAGGCATTAGGGTATTCTCCCCTCCCCCCACTTAAAGCTGATAAACTACATCCATGGTAGCAAATATAGAAGTCACATTTGCTTTAGGAGTTGAGCACAAGCAAGGGTATTGATGCATTTACCAGCTACTGCTTAGAGCTATTCACTTGCACCACTTAACATTGGCACTAGGACTGATACACCAAGCCTTGGTGACAATTCACTGCAGCAGACGTCACGGAATTGAAAATAAATGGAGCTGGAAAGGCAAGAGACCCAAAACCCTGAGGCTGCTGTTACATGCTGCTAGATGAACTATTAAAAGAAAAAAGTAACCTAGTGTGCTTCCTTAAACATATTGGTATTCCTTCTACATTTATACCAGGTGGTAGACCAAATACAGAGTTTTTGTATTAATCTTTACTTTTACCTTTATTATCCATCAGCAATTAAGAATAAGTCCCTGATCTAAGGATTTTACAGTTTAAACATAACAATAAGACGGATGTAGGAACTGAGATGTACTATAATTATACAATAAATATTGGGATGTTTCATCACATGAGGTACAAGCCTGCCAATCTTTCAGGAAACTGAAGTTTATGCAGAGGCAGGCAAGACGCTCTATAATGGCAGGATGAAGTGTGGTGTCACAGATATGATAATACTGGAGAAAGGGTGGAGGTGATACTAAGGAGATTAATGGCAGTAGTTGCGAGTCCTGGAGTTTAGCTCCTGGAGGCTGATGAGAAAACCAGCCAGGAGTAAACAAAGCAAGCAAGAAACTTGCGTACTGGGAGTAAAATAGTTGTGTAGAAGCTGAGCTGGGTCCGATTAGTTTCTACTCAGAAGACAAGATAAGTCTAGCGGGGTAGGAAGAAAATGGAGGAAGAGAAGTTCTTTGCTAGTGTAAACTAACCTGGGGGAGCCAGCCAGCACGGGACACCAAGAATGGCCCCTTCTAGCCCAGCTGTATTCTGATCAAATGCTTAGGTACAACTAATTACTTTGTGATTGTAGTCATTAATTAGTATTGTCAGAGTGCTATATAAAGTATAATTCTTATTCTGTTACAGATTTTTAGAGCATTCATTTAAGAGTTGGCACAAAACAGCTACTGCCTTTATTTAAATCCAAAGACCATTTTAGCTGGAAAAAATGACAGAGTCAATTCAATTCCAACAAAGGAAAAGATAGGTCTTGGAAGGGAAGAGAAATGGAGGAAAAAACACCTGTTGTTTTAGCAGGTGGCTAGGGATGAAGCAGAGAATTCTGTTCGTATGTTTTGAGACATGATCACTGTCTAGACTTAATTTCTAAAAATAGAAGCTGATGAGGAAAGGCAATAACTGCAATGCATCCAAATTAAACCATCAAGTTTTATATGCTACACATTAGTCTGTCTTTTAACAAACAACACCGAATGCTTCACAGTGGAAGAGTAGGTAGCAAGAATATCTACAGAAACCTACCCAGTATGAAGCTAATAAGATATATGGCAAAGTCCTGGAACAGACTGATACTGCACCTCTTGCAACAATTCTTTTTGCATAGCAGTAATCCAGGGGTATGGTGTTCTTAAACATTAAGTTAGTAGCAATGGAAGATTTAGAGAAAAGTTACAATAAGGTGCATCCATAACTAGTATTACCGTGTTCAATGATTAGATAGCAAGCCATTGATGACAAAGTGGAAAGAAGTATTAAGTAAAGTTTTCTAGGGTCTATCCAGGATCAGGCACTGAATGATGAACTATTTGTAGGATGGAACTCAGTGTACACTTGGTAAATTTAATTAGAGTTTAGACATTTTGGAAGATGGGATTAGGATACAAAGTAACCTTGATATATTGGATAAGTGGTCCAAAATTAACTGGATAAGCTTCAAGAAGTGTGAAATTCTGTAATTAAGAGGAAAAAATGCACACGTGAACTAGAGAACAACTGGCTCAACTACAGGTCTTGCAGTAAGATCTGGAAGTTAGTGTGTCACAAGCTGATCAGTGTTTTCCTTTTGTCAAAGTTATATTTACACACACCCTTTTCCCCCTCTCCAATCCACTAAACAAGCACAGTGGATTGTATTTACAAGACTGTCATTTGCAGGTTAAGAAAAGTGATTCTCTTCCCTCTATTCAGCACTAGTGAGACTTCACCAGTGAGGGCTATGTCCAGTTTTGGGACCCATGCTTACAGACATAGAAAATCTGTAACAAGTTTAGACAAGAAAAATTTGAGGTCTAGCAAGCATGACTTACAAAAGAAAGGCTGGAAGAACTGGAATCATTCAAATCTGGAGAAGAGACCAGGAATTTAAAGTAGACCATCTTGAAATACATGAGGCCATTACAAGGAGGATGGAGGTCACCTCTGTGACTACTGGGGACAGCATAAGAATTAGCAGTCTTGAACTACAATAAGGGAAATTTTTAGGCTGGATATTAGGAAGATCTTTCAAACTAAGGCCAGTAACTTTGCAAGTTTAAGGTACTAAAAGTTAGATGACCAATATTTACAATCCTAGTGTAAGCACCTGATGCATACGCAAGTCAGAATTTAAAAACAAAAACCAAAAGGCCCACAAACAACCATACCAAGTAGAGCTTAAAATTCTTTCCAATTAAAGAGTCGAGAGCAAATAGAGAAAGAGTTCCAGCTTCAACTAAAAATTATTGCTTTAACATTTATTTATTTTTATTTATTTATTTATTTTTATACACAGAGACTTAAAAATTGTCTAATAAATATGCAGCAGTCAGTTGAGAGTGTTCTAACTTATCTATATCTCACAAAGCACATGCTTTGTTACTGTTGAAATGCAAGTTTCAGTGTGGCATAGGCAGACTGCAGGTAGATGTGATTCCCCCCCCCCCCCCCCCTTTTTTTTTGTGGCCCCCCCCCCCCCCCGCCACTTTTTGTGGAGAGGAAGTAGTACCACAGTACCTTCTGAAAAGAGTCTTCATCTGTTATGTCATATACTAAAATAGCTCCATTAGAATCTCTGTAGTAAATTGGACCCAATGCATGAAATCTCTCTTGGCCTGCCGTATCCTGCATTGATAAACACATTTACGTTAACCTTCATTAAGGCAAAACTCGGAAGAAAGCATTCTAGAGCAAAGTTAGAAATATAACTTCATTAGAAATCAGCCTTCATTACTTGAGTTCCTATGCTTAAAAATATTAAGCAAAAGATTTGCTTTGTTCACTTAAAACCACCATTTAAGCATTCTTAAAACTTCAACCCCCCAAAGTCAATTGAAACAAGATAAAGTAAAAGTTAACATACCCATATTGCAAGATTTACTCTTTTTCCACCAATGTTTAGCTTCTTTGTAAGAAAAGATGCCTAAAAACAAAGAAACATGAAACATACTGCAAATGAACTGCAGTGACTTTATTGGCATGACTAATAACTTTAAGAGTAGCCAGCTATTTATATGAATACCCGAACCCTAGAAAGCAGTTGGCACTTTCTTTTTTTTCTTTTTTTTTTTTTAATTCCTAACATGCTGGTAGGAAAGAAAACACGATTAACCAATCCAGACAGAAAACAACAACAACCACCACCTAAGATTAGAAGACAGATCAGGTAATGTAGACAGAACAATTAATCTATCAAAGGATTAATTAGCCACTTCTGTAGAAATCAGAGAACTTAGGATCTCAAAAAACAGGTTGAGAATTATCTGGTTTTGCTTGGCTAGCTGCTTTTTAAGACAATTTTTGGCTCCAACCATTTTGACTGGCCAAATGGTACTAGTTTTTGCCAGAACAACATTTCATCTGTCTGCTTAAAAAAATCCCTATCCAACTTTGTCAGCCAGGGAAGTATTTTGCTGTAGTCCAACCTGAACGAAAGCTAGCCTCATGCTTTATGCAGTAGTTTCCAAATCACTTGTTTTGCTGCTAATATTTCTGAAACTAAAAATAGTATCTGGAGGCATCACTTACTTTATCCCTGGATAAAGTCCGACTATTCTAGATTAAACAGAAGACAGCAACACTTACTTCCATGTATCCACTAAATTAGCCTTAAACATGATGTCTAGAAGTTGTCATTCTTTAAACCCCTTCTCTACCTATCATTTCAGGGCTATCCAATTGGTGGCCTGCAGGCCACATGCAGGATTAAACTGCAGCCTCAAGACACCCTATCGGTCATTGCTTCCTTTATGGCTCTGGCCGCTGCTGCCCTCAGAGCACCTAGGCTTCCACTCCCCCTGGGGTCAGGGCAGCAAGTCCGTGGGAGCCTCCAACTCTGGGATCCAGGTGGCTCCTTGAGGAAGGCAAATCCACACAGCACCAGGACCTCCAGGTGGCTTGTGTGGCTGGGGGAGTGAGAAAGACCATGGGGAGGGTTGGGAGTGCGAAGGTGGGGGTGAGGGTGTCATAACCCAAAGTTGTGGGTTTTTTTTATTTGAGTGTGCTTCGGCATCGCTAAATCATGTTCCCGACAAACTGCAGCTCTTTTGCACGGTGGAGTGTTCTGCTGCAACAGAGAACCCGTGTGCAGGAGCTTTTCCCACCAGTTCTGTAGCTTTCTTTGCATAGTGCATTTCTTTTGCATTATAGCAATGCGCGATGCAAGGAGTCACTGCCATTTGTATTAGGATTCGCGCCACATTATTGGCCCGTCTTAATGTAAGCACACGTGGCAGCTAGCTATTGGCTTGCTAGCCGTACAAAAGGCTTGGGTGGTTTCCGCCCAAATCGGAGAGAAAGAAAGCACGTGGAGTTCGGGAAAGGAGCGCGAGGATCTCTAAGCGCTGCTGATCCATACGAACCCAACTTTTTCCTTAAGAGGGCAACAGAGGTTTAATTTATCGAACCCACGGAGCTTCAACAACTCCGCGGGACTTATTTACCGTCCCCTCGGAGCCTTAACGACTCCGAGGCAACTAACCTCTAGCCTCTCCCCGTCGCCGATCGCAGCCCAGAGCGGAGCTGAGCCTGGAAAGCTGACCAGCCTGCACCGTGACCACCTTGGGTGCAAGTAAATAATCTTTTCAATCAACCATTACGCCTCCGTGACTGATTCTAGCTCGAGCGTGCCATACTGCACCACGGTATTTTCCAACCCCGCGTACCCGGGCTACCGGCCACAGCCTGTGTACACACAAAGACGGGCCCCTGGCTCGTTCATGGCGACCCAGATGGGATCAGGAGAGAGCTCACACATGGCGATCCAGGCGGGATCGGGAGTCGGCCCGCACAGAGGGTAGCAGAGATAACACAGCAGAGGAACCCATGTGTTCTGCAATTCATGGTCCTCAGCCATGAAAAAAGAAAGAAAGAAAGAAAGAAAGAAAAAGTCAAGACACATGCACATACCTCCCCGCTTCAAACTGTAAACCTGTCTAATCTGATACTTCCCTAAACTCAATCTGTCAAAATATATGCATTTCTAAAAGTGGTTCAAGTGCTCCATTTTGGACTCTAAGAGCAGAACACATTTGTCTAGAAGTAGAGATGCACTGATATAAAAAAGAAATCGCCTAACGGATCAGCACTAATAAAAAAAAAAAAAGGGAAATGACATTGTTGTGTACCGACTTTTTTGGATTGTTGTAGCCGATAATGTTTTCCGGTAAGTATTCCTTCCGGCCAGGGCCCCAGAGTCCCCCTTGCCCACAGAGTTGGGGCCCCTGGATGCTGGACTGGAGGGCTCCACACAGCCCGTCACAGGCACTGCAAGGATAGCCCTGCCTGCTGCAACTGGCACAGACACTTTTACACATGCTCTAGGTTCCATCAATTTTAATAAGTTTTAAAACCAATTTGTCATTCTTATTTCAAAATGCACTTTAATTTACTTCACTACAAAATTAACTCATTGACTCTTTCCAGGTGCTTCTCATCTTAAATTCAGAATGTGTTATATGCAAATCATGTCAATTTTAGTGTTATAATGTATACAGTGAACAGCACTAGTAACCTGATAGAAAGCAAATCCATAAGTCTGCCTGCATATCAAGGGGCAGGGCACCTAACACGATCTGTAGGCAAGGAATTTTTTAGAGATACAATGGACAGACTGTGATTTAGCTGGAAGATTTAAAGCTGTTTTTTTTTAGATGGTGCAAGAGATTTTAGTTTATAATAACATACCACAACCTTAAGACTACTAAGCTTGCAAGGTACTTGTGAACTGCTTATATATTGTTTTAAATTAAGCAAGCTTTTTACTGCCTGCTACATAAAATGAAAGATAGACCAGAAGAGGCTGACATGCACTACTTGGCCACACAGGTCAAGTGCTGCAAAAAGAGCAGCCTTGTACAGAAGAATGTCACTGGTAGCAGAACAAGCATTTATTCTTTTTCCTTAAACTCCTAGGAAATGGCTCATTTCTCAACATCTTTGTATTTGAATTACTGCTTTCTATTTAGAACCCCTGCTCCATGCAGGTGTGTTCATAGTATCTGGCACATCGAAATTATTATGAAAGCTTATGCCTCTCTGAATTACTATACAAAGGTGCCACTTTGTCCTGGCACTTTGTTCATATAGTTATGAATTAGGAAGACAGACAAAGGGGAAGAAAACTAAGAAACTATATTTTAAAAACTTGCTTTTCACAATATACATGGATGAGCCTAGAGGGAGAAAAAAAACCCAGGATATTTGATACCTATCTGTTCCATGCCCCTTCTGGTAGTTTCTCAATAGGAAGTTCCATTCATTTAGAGCTTACAGAAAAATGCACTGTAACAAACTCCTTAGAAAAATGGCACATTACAAAACAGTTATCGATTTCTATGGGGGCTAGTTGTTTAATAAGAATAAAAGTTTGGAGACAGGAAATAAAACCCTGTTATGGCAAAACTTTCTTATTAGGAAAGTTAAAGAGGTATGCCAATTAAGACTACTAATTATGTAAAATTATCTAAAAATAAATAAATGGTAAGTGATTTTAGTGTCCCTTTCCTTTGGAACACACTGGAGAAATGGAATCAAGAACTGATGCAGTCCATGTTCTTCTCTGAACTTCTACTTTGAAATTGGGCAAGCAAACTTAGTTTCTAGACCTTTGGTGCTAGGGGAAGGTGGGGTGGGGTTAAAGACAAAATTGCAAGTAACTTATTATTAGAGCATCACTTGCAATTCTTTGGGCAGAAGTAACCTGGTGGTACCCATCTCCTCTTCAGGTGTGGATGGCTGTTGGCTATTGTGAGCTCATCTGCCCAATGACAGCCCAATGACACGTTGTTTTCAGTCCTGCTGGGTCTCTGTAAACTCTCCTCATCTGGCAGACCAAATCGGGGTGCTGGTTTAGTCACTGATGACCCAACTATGAGATGGGTTGCATTAGGCTACATGGTACCAGTGGCAGGGTAAACCCTAACCTGACCACTTGGACCACCAACGTAAGAGACTGGACAGGATTAAAACTGACCGATTGTACAAAGACTGCAAGAGACTAGGAAGAATGGAGGAAAGTTACTGCTACACCAAAGGTGCCCCAAGAGTCGGCACAGCCTTGGAACCAACTTGGCTCAACTTGATTACTAGAGTAAATCAGCATATATATGGCCACACTATGACTTGTGATGTGGCCTACGTAAAAAGGAATTAAAAATCAGGCCATCTGTACAGATTGTCAGCAGATTAAAACAGGTGGAAGTGTTCCCCCCACATTTTAAAGATCTACACATTGGTACCACCCTCAGTTTCTAGCCGTCTGTCTTTCATGAGATTATTCCCATGGCAGAGATTATAGCATCACAACACTGGAATTCAAGTTTCCCCTAAGTAAATCCACAGGTGGTCTGAACATTTAGAAGCACAATTCTTACATGGATACAGGAAGTGGTGGGGCCTGAAGTAAATGATTTCCAACACCAGCAACCTATTTTCCTTCTAGTCTGAATGGGAGCTAGGTGAACTACACCTGCCATATGTTAAAAAGTAGATATTTAGTAACATCTGCAAAGAACTGAACTAGTTCTGCATTTTATGTTCTGATTTAGATTTCAAAAAACAAGATGGACAACATTCATTTTTCTTGACTTGGAAGTCAGTCATCATTGTTTGTATTTTTGTTTGCATTCTGCCTCTAACTAGTAGAAACGTTAGGATTACAGTCAAACATAAAGCTTCTTTTCGTTTAAGCAACTTGAACTTTAGGGAGTTACACAGAAGAATAACCCTCCACCTGATTAACAAACATCATTCTTAAAGCTGTGTGATGATTGGGGCAGTGGGGAAAGGGAGAAAGTTCTCAGTGATCCCACACCTTATGATTTCTAGTATATTTTTGCTGAAGTGCACTACTATATTACAATATTATACTGTGCTTCATAAAAGAACCAAACATACATCTTGTTTTTAAGTCAAACCAACTTATTTCAAAATCTCTTCACTTAGTTTTTGTATAACAGTACTTCTACCCCTGCAATCCCGAGAAAAAGCTCCTCAGACAAAAAAAAAAAAAAAAAGATGGCTATCCATGAGAAAAATGACACTGTCAAAATGCAAGTGTTTTTATAGAAGCTTGTATTGACAATTCAGCTGGGCCAGGTCTTTGGGTCCAGGACAGGAGTAACAGAAGGAATCACAGTCTTCAAAATAGCCAACTGCCTGATGACAAAAACATCCCTGTCCCCCCAAGTGGCATGGAACAGGGGTTTAAACTTGGCTTTGTATGTACCAGGCTAGTGCCTTGGCCACCAGGCTTTTGGCTAACTTAGGACACAGCAACTTGCTCCTTTCTTCCACATCTCAGACAGAGCTTTGAAAACAGTCAGAGCTGTTCCGCACCAAACATTTCAAAACCTCAGTATTTGGGGAAAAAAAAAAGTTTCAAGTGAGCCCTAGAGAATTACTGCAAGGTAACTTTGGACAAAAATAAAACCTCCATTTGTTTTTGTCTCTTTCAGAGCTTTAGTAGAATCTCAGTCAAGTCATGAGCTTTAAATAGAAGCAACCACTTCCTCTACAGTACAGGGTTTTTGAAGCACTATAGTACTTTTTGAATTGGGCTTCCAAAACATGAGGTCAGCAGAAGACAGTACTCTCTCTCAAACAACTCTTTGAAATATGCCATCACTACTAATGATTCACTGAACTTTGTGGTGTCTTACGACTTCTCCCAGCCTTTTCCTTGTTATAAGCCTTTGATCTCTGATGAACACCTCAGCGTAAATCAACCAAAATTTTTTTAAAAATGGAGGGGGAGGGGAAGAAGAGGGGAAGTCAGATATTAAGAAATGTTATTCTTCTATGTACATATCAAGCAGGGGCATTGAACTCAAAGGGCAAGAGCTTCTTGCATACTCCAACCCTTGTGACACTTTCAAAGGCTTAAGAATTTAAGAGCAGCTTTATGAAAAAGCTATCACAGATCCTCTATAGCAGTCAGGCAGGAAAATGAACATAACTGCAGGGAGGAACAAATAAGGTATTCAATGGAAAACAAAAATCAACTGAGTTCCCTTCCACTGGTTAAAAGCACTATGCCACTATCACAAAGGCTACATTTCATTATAGAATCAATCCATATATTCAGAAACCAGGCTGAACTACTATTAACACCAAAGAACAAGAGCTAGACATCTGCAAGGTAACAAGCTATAATATCTTGCTGAATTACAGCCATAATACAAAACTAAATTCCTGTCTTAAATCTGTCTTTTATTGCTAAGAATCCATTCAAGCATTATCCAATCCTACCCATTTCACTGCTTGATCATAAGGTTTGGAAGAAAGTGAGTGTTCATTGCCCATTTTAAAGCAAGCACACCACCAAATTACTATTTAAGACACATGCCACTGTGTGACTATATGGTAGTAAAAACAGCTTTAACTGCATCTGTCATGTATTCTCTTTCCTGTAAAAAGTTTTAAAATGTGAACCGTTTATAGACTAGGTTCAATAGCACCTTAAAGACTTAAAAGCAAACACCTTATACAGCTAAACACAAAAGTTTCTTTTTGGTTCTTCTTTCTTCAAAGTATCAGAATTTACTGAAGATTGGGGCATACTTCTTGTGGCCTACTCCCACAATTTTTGCTATCCAAAAGTGTACCGTTTACAGTTCTAAAGCAGCATCTTTCACATCTGTACACTGAGGATTTATTGCCAGTCTCTTCAGACAGAAAGAACACATGGCCCTTCCTGTGAATAACATTTCTGAATGATGTTTTGTAGGAAGCAAAACAAGGTATCTTGGGGGGCTCATTTATTTTTCTGCTTTTAGTTTATAAATACAATTTAGGGGAGTTGTAGCTGGCCTCACTGCACTCAGTCTCCATACCATAACCAGTCATTCTGTACTGTAAAATTCACTTTTCAACTCCAAGTAATACCTCAATTTAAGACTTCCAGTTAAAGGATTATACCAGGTGAAAAAAAGTCAGATGACAAGCAATTTTTGGCTTTCAGTTTCACATTCTTGTTTGGCTTTATATTGGGCAACAGGGCTCTGTTATTCACAGGAAGCAGACTGTTTTGGAAGGTTGGGGGGGTTTTTTTAAGCCTCACAAGACACGGTTTAGTTTCATCTCCATCCATTGCAGGCACCTCTCCCTAGAAGCTACAAGTTACTTGTCTAATGAAGACAAGAATAGACAACTGTCAATGAAGAGTTTTAAATAACTGTCAAAAGTTTAGAGGAAACATTCTTTAAACAAGGAATGAGCCACAAACTCCAAATCTTCAAGGGGCATAAGCTAACACAAAATGCTAGAGACTGAAGTAGTTCAGCAACAAAGCCAGACTGAACAGGTCTCTGCTGTACAGTTATTCTGGGTGATGGGCACTGGGTTAAAAAAGCCAGGTTAGCTGAACCTAGTCCACACTCCATGTACTCATTGCTTCTCGCCCCTCCCCCTAACCTTGCCTTTTGTCTGGGGTATAATTCATGCTATGACACCAGACTTCTTTCCTAATGCAGTTTCAGGCCTTCTCTACCATTCAGGGTCAACAGTGGAAGAAAAACTAGAGGCTCTTCAGCACTTGATCCATTTTGCCCAACCTTTCACTTCAGAAAAAATATGTTCCAGCCAAAGTTTGCCAGGAGGTTTGGCTCTAACCCATTCCACCTGACCAACAGCGTAGAGGTGCTCTAAGCCTGAGTTAAGTTATAAAAAAAAAAAAAAAAAAAAGAGTTCTGCATGAATGATAAGGGAAGCTGAACTAAAAACCTAGGCCTACTCTATGAAGGCATGCCTTTATTCACTGAGGTTTCTCAATTTTTTTTTTTTTTTCAAATGAAACTTCCTTTATCTACTTTATCTCAAACCTTAATGAAGTACTGTACAAACATACAATACAAAACCATAAAAGGTCTTAATGTCTTAATATGTCCCACATAGTTAAGAGTGGAAGACTTAAAAAATCTAGTTGTACATAGCCAGCCCAGGAAGATTTTTTTTCTTGAGAATAAATACAAGACTGACTTATGGCTGTGTTGTCATTACACCATACCAGAATAAGAGTAAGCTACAGTAGCAGTCCTACAATGGTCACTCAGACCTCTTGCAGTCCCTCAAGAGCTAGATGACCGCATGGTTCCTATTCCTGTTCACAACTCATATTTTGCATTAGTAAAGCTGCCCTCACATCTTATGTTATATCATATAAGCAGTGCTAGAATTTCCCATATGACGTTATGAAACTGCAAACAGAGGTAGCTCAGACCTCTAAAAGTTATCCAGAACACAAGAGCGTGCACCACTTTTTTGTGAGTTCATCATGAAACCAAAAGGGCCCTGCCCACAGGCAGAAAGAACTAAGCTTCACTACACATTGCTGCTGCAAATGTGCTTTTTTAGACCCGAGTTCAGCAGACTCATGCTCCTAACTCAATAGACACAAAATATGCCAGTAGCAGCTGAGGGCAGAACTCAGCCGCTTGCACAAATGTTTGCCTTCCTGCAAGATAGAAGCCAAGACTTTTTCTTTAAAAATGCAATACAACCCCCCCCCCCAAAATTTCCTGAAATAAACCTCAGCCCACAAAAGCATGTACTGTAGGCCAGGGGTGCTCAACCTGTACCAGGGCATCATGCCCGCTGGGCTCCCTGTGCGCTGGGAAACTGGGCAGCAAGGGAACAGTGGCAAGTTACACTGCAACCCTTCCCCTGCTGCCAAGCCCTGCACAGGTGGATCGGGACTGGGCCACCTCCCCTCCCACAACGCAGCCAGCCCAGGCCCCACCTCACCACCCTGTGGCTCGAGCACGGAGCACTGCCTGTCCCGCCCGAGGGGGGGAGGGGGAGGCCAAGCACAGCGCACGTGCGGACAGACGGAAACACGTGCAAACCTCCCGCTGCCTTCAGGGGCCCGAGGCTGGCCCCGCCCGGGAAAACCCCGCCCCGGGCCCCTTCCCCGCCGGGCCGCACCTGAAGGGTGGTGATGTGCTTGTCGTTGAACTTGTTCTCGCAGTAGCGCAGCACGAGCGAGGTCTTGCCCACGCAGCCCTCCCCGAGCAGCACCACCTTGAACGAGAAGCTGCGGCCGCCGGGCGCCGTGAGGAGGGGGGCGGGGCTCAGACACCACCGAGAACGCGAAACACTGCCCTCCCGCCACTACCGCCCCCGCTGCCTCTAATGGCGTCTTCTTCCTCCTACGTCACGCGGCGCTGCGTCACGCGGCCCGCCACAGCCAATGGGAGGGGCCGCCGCTACGTTCTGGGGGGCGGGGCCCGGGCCGCGGGGGAGCTGCTGACGGGAAACAGAGGGGGCGGGCCACTGCCCCTTCCTCGTGCCTCTGCGGCTGCGCGAAGGCTGTGGGCCCCGCCCAGCCTGGGGCGGCCGCAGCAGCCGCGTTTAGAAAGGCGTAATCTCAGTACCGTATTTTCTCGCATACACGCGCACTTTACCGCCAGCCCCAAAAGTTGCGGCCGGCATGCAGTATATGCGAGAGAAAGGGCTCCCCACAAGTGTGGAAATTTGAGCGTGGAGGAGAGGTACAGTAGTAATTGATGCAGTTCTGCCAGCCACAGCCACTGATGCTACCACTGCTCCCTCTCTTCTCTCCCAGTCACAAATTTCTGGACTCCTGTGGAGCCCCCCTCCACACTTTTCCCCAACCTCGCACACAGGTTCAACCCAGTACATGGCACCCGAGCCAGAGCATAGGGTCGCACTGGCATGCAGCTATAGCCTGCCTGCTGGATTGAGCCATGCAGCACTGGTGCCCATGCATTGGATCAGGTCACATTACCCGACCTGTTGGATAGGGCCCTCTTGGGCCGCTTGGCCCCAGCACGGCTGTGCTGCGATGGGCCCTGTCACACATCCCCCAGCTCGAGCATGTGGCCTCCAGGCCTAAGCTCCTGGCACTCAGCCACTAGCTCCATCAGACCATTACTACTTGGGCTCCAGCTACATGTTACATATATTATGCAATATACTGGTTAATCCCACAATAAATTTAGGCCAGCTGCATGTGCAAAGTAATTATCACACCATACAAATGACTCCACCTATGAAAAAGCCAACCAGCTACAAAGGTAGTGCTTGAAAATGTGTAACTCTATAGCTGGTCTCGATCCAGGTTTAATGTGAACGTGTAGCGGAGCCCTTACCCATACTCCAGGGTAAGATGCTTTCTCTTGGGGCCCTGCAAAATTAGGGTGTAGGTTACATTTGGGGACAGGGATGTGTGAAAAAAATGATGATAATTCTGGAAATTCTTCATATCGGTTTCCAGCACAAGTAGGAGCTTGCCCAGTCCTGGCATTCTAATATAACAAACTCCTTAGCCCGTCTGTCTGTAACGCTCCGGGCCAGCTGCGCATGCACCGCCAAGAGGGCATGCGCCGATGGGCTGTGAGGGCCTGGAGCGTTATGGACAGAGGGAGCAAGAGAGCTGCCGCGCTGCCTCTCCCCAACAACAGCCAGCAGGGAGGGGGAGGCAGCGGGGAAAAGGGGAGGAAGGGAGAGGAGTGGGAAAAGGAAGTGGGGGAGGGGGGGTTCCAGTGGTAGCGCCTCACCAGTGCAGCACTGCAAGCAGGCAGCCCAGCAGCTGCAAGCAGGCAGTGTCTGCCGCTCCCAGAGGCTGCAGCAGGGTCGGGAAGTTGCCAGCAGCGGCATGAGAGCAAGCTGGGGGCGGCGGTGGCACCAGGCTCTTCCTGGCACTCAGGGTGGGCCACGGTGATGGGAGGGGGGCTGCTGCCACCCCAAAATTCACTGTAGCCCCCCACAACCTGTCTTCCCAGTGCTGCTGCCAAGCGCCGGCCTGAGCCTGCAGTAGCTGCCGTCCCTAGCCTGCTCTTGTCCCGCTGCAGGACTCACCGCTGCTGAGCACCGGGAAGAGCCTCGTGCAGCTGCCAGCCCCAGCCTGAAGTGGCCACCAGCCCCAGCCTGCTGTTGTCCAGCAGCAGTGGGCAGCTGCCTGGCCCCGCCGGCACA